ATGGTCGATCCTCACAGAGCGTGCGATGCGATGCGATGCGCTGCGTTTCCGTATTTTTCGAGTTTTCGACCGGGTCTGCCAGTGCTGTAGGCTATACCCTACAGCATATACTGAAAGCATGTAAAAGTCGGAGACTTCGGAGGGCCCCAGTGTTAGCTAGCCGAGAATCGGTAGCTCGAGGACCAAAAGTAGGGGTCACACACCCGCTGTCCACTTACACTTAGACGAAAAGGTCGATGCGATTCACTTACACATAGACGAAAAGAAACGCATGCGATTTTTCCGAAAGTGTTCTCGCCAAGAAATCCCGAGGATTTCATCGCAGAGGCCATAAAATCGACCTTTTCGTCTATGTGTAAGTGAACAGCGGGGGGTCTGACCCGTACTTTGGGTCCTCGAGTTACGGATTCTCGGCTAACTATTACGGGGGCCCTGCAAAGTCTCCGACGTTTACATGCTTTTAGTATATGCTGTAGGGTACAGTCTACGGCACTGGTAAACCCGGCCGTAGGCTCGAAAAATACGGAAACGCAGCGCATCGCATCGCATCGCACGCTCTGTGAGGATCGACCATAAGAGTAGTGAAAATTCTACTCGCCCTTTACAATGTAGGCTCCGCCGGGGTATCTCTCGAGTCAAATATTTCAGAGTTCTTCATAGGACGGAGCGACGGGCCGATCTCCTTGCAGCCTGGGCTAACCGGAGTTTGCGACAACGCGAACATGATTCCTTTCTGCCTGGAGCCCATCACACTGCGGCGCGCCTGTAACACCGCGGCGCGGTCTGTAACATTATGTAAAACTGCGGTCGGCCCCTACTGCTGCGAGGCAGTGCGAGCCGAGTGCGAGCATCGAGATGTTACGGGACGCGCTGCAGTGTTACGGGCCGCACCGTGGTGTTACGGGCGCGCCGCAAAGAGATCGACTCGTCGCTCCGTCTTATGCAGAATTCTGTCTACGTCTTATCATCTTCAAACAAAGACCTTGAGAGATCACATCTTACTTTAAAAGATTAACTTAAACATTACGTAAATAAACTACAAATAGACTGGGATACGTATGTTCCTTTTGCAATGTTAAGTTATAATACAGCAGTGCATAAATCCACCCACTATACGCCATACGGACTCCTTTTCGAACGGAAATCCTACCTACCTTCATCTATAATACAAAATCCAGAATTTCATTATACTTATGACGACTTTATCTGATCATTCAAATATAAACTCAATACATCCTTTCAAATTGCACGCGACAAACCTTATTGATTCAAAACATCGTAGCAAGATATATCATGGTAAGGAAATTAACCCAATCAAATTCAAATTTAAGATATGCAATAAAAAATAAACAGAAGTAAGAATTATAGGACATTAGATAATGTAAACATTTGCAACGCGTACAGTCCAATCAAACAATGCCACAACGTGTTAGAATATTAGAAATTATATGTCAAAAATTCCTTATGACTGAGAAAAACAGGTCAAACAATTTCATAAACCTTACTTCTTAAACTTTTAGCACAGATCTTACGGCTTATACAACACACATTATTAAGCACATTATATTCAGTCTTTGAGTCAGCTAGTCCTTTGTAAAGGCCTATTATATTATTTATAAACAATACGATAGAGGGTAAAGCTTCAGATCAATATTCGTTACACTCTCACCAACTGGAGAAGAAGTTCCGGAAGTGTTTTTATATCAAGATAAAAAAATTATTAGATCAACTTACGGAGGAACTCAGTTTAATTAAAAAAACCTCAAGTTTCTCAATTTTATCAAACATTTGATGATCTTCAATTAAGAATATTAGGAATTATGCTTTCGGCAGACCGTGAGTAGGTCGATGAAATAACTCTAAACCGTTTTATTTATCACTCAACCATAAATTCCTCAGATGTGAAGGCATCGAGAATTTTCAAATATTAATGGTGCTCTTACGGCAGCATTAGCAGAAGAAAGAGGTTTGCGCTTGAGACATGATACTTTTCAGCAATAGAGTTTGAATAAATTAAATCACAATACTGATAGCTCTTTCGGAAGACAAAAGTCCACTCTCAATAAAGCAGTTAATTCCAATCAATTTAGTCGAAATTAGTCATTAAATAGTATACATAATATAATAATATATAGTAATACGTATAAAAATCAACTAAAATCCAATAAATATTATAAGTATCAATGCCAATCTTACCCGAGTAATTATCATACAAATCAGAAAGAGTCGAATTATTTAATTAATTAAAAAAGTGCTTTAAAATCGGTAGGACTCCAGAGTCCCGCTGTGATCCAACAGGATAATTATATTACGAATTTTTATCATTCATTTCATGAATCGATCACTCGTAAGAAATACAATATATATAAAGAAAAATTACATTTCATTTCTAGCGAACCGGAAACGATGAGACGGTCAATCATCTTCGCTGCATTAATTGTCTTTCCGTTAATCGCCGCTGGAAACATGACACCTATCAACTACGTTGCAGAACTCGTGAACGCTATGGACACTTACGAAGCAGCTGATGCGCCAGATATCTATAAACAGATAAGGAACATTTCAGATATCTGCGAGAATGAATCGCTAAGACTCAATTTATCTAGATCGTTATACATGACAAGAAGTTTCGTCATTTCTTCTTCCATAAGATGTATTACCTTAAGATCTCCCGGACTTCGTATGATGTCAGGAGCATTCGAGGATTTACCGAATTTGAAGTATCTTGATCTACGAGAAAACCAAATTGATACGAACGATTTATTCTCTTTTGGCCCACTTCCGACCGTTGAAGTGCTACTTCTTGGAGGTCAAAACTCTTATATTCATTTAGGAGATATAGAAATAAACAATGTATATTCTGAACTTGAATACTTGGACTTAAGTAATATTGGCATTGGGTACATCACAGTCAGGCAAGAAAATCCATTTCCAAAATTGAAATACCTCAATTTCGCACAAAACAGGAAAGAAGAGTTTTCCTTTGGTTCCTCGTTATCTGACAGTCTAATATATCTTGACCTCAGTAAGAACTTAATCACGTCTTATGCGCCAAGATTGACTAATCTGTCGCTCTTGTGGTTAGCTGAAAATGAAATTGAACAAATAGGTGAAGGTGGACTTAATTTATCGGCATTGAAGCAGTTGGAAATTTTATCAGTAGCGGATAACCGAATCAGTTCCATCGATGAGGGAGCATTTACAAGCTTAGCGAATCTTCGATATTTAAATCTATCCGGCAACGCTTTATCTATTGGCAACTTAGTGTCCCTTAACTTTTCGGAATCATTCGAGATCCTTGTATTAGATCGCAATTCGTTAGTAGATATTCCGAACCTAAATTCGTCAACCATAACGACGCTTTCATTGAAATGTAATCAAATACAATACTTATC